GGTAAACGCCACAGTGTACACTATTGAGTTATGGATGCACTTAGGAAGTTTGCTAAGCAATAAGGGGGCCAATGAGTTATTTTTCTAATAAAACATAAAGACATAAATTTGGCGATTTCAAACGTATTCAAACGACTTCTAATTATCGAGTAAATTATCCTTTATAAGTACCATCGGAAACGTATAGAGAACAGTATGGAGAACTGAAGTTAGGTTGTAAAGGTTTAAAGACCACAACAGAGGCGGTGGAACGCTTTGAAACTGGGGTGGGGGGGTCTTATCTTTCACCCAGCCATAGGCATACCCCTACTCAAATTTTCTAAAATGCTTTTTGCGTTGTTCGTTGGCTCGAGCAAACCTGTTCTGCAATCTTTACAGTTTCGAGTGTGTCCATGATCGGTTTGTGACTTACTTCCATTTTTTCTCTATACAGTCTAAAATCTTTCAGCTTATCATTCGATTGGGTTCCAAAGACAAAATTATGTTATGCCTAATTTCTAGACACGCTGTCAGGCTTAATGGAGGACTTCTGCAAGTAATAAGCTTCTCGAACACAGGCCGGAGCTTTTCAAAAAAGTTTTATAGCATTATTTTGCTTAGCGCAAATACAAGGATTTGTGGTATTTTTCGGCACCAAAATGTGGGTGGAGGAGGGGCTGTGTCCGCCAAAGTTTTTGTTTGGGGCCCCTCCCCCCTTGCTCCGCCGCCTATGAATAAGCTATAACCTATACCTGCAAAATTTACATTTTTCCCAATTTGATAGGACGGTATCTGACTTTTATAATGCGACACAAAGCTAAGCGAAAGAGGAGACTATTGAATTTCGGACTTTCGCTACGAATTTAATCGATAGTAGAAAACCGGCTTTTAAGTAACCAAGGAAGCGTAGTTTTGGATTACTATTTTCCATTTGTTTTGTCGTTCAACTTTAGTTTGCGAAACTGCTCTCTTAAGAATTTCCTTCATTTTGGTTGGTTTGTAAGGACCAAGACTGAGTAATTAGATGTCAAAAGCTTGTGATCTTCGGTTCTTGACGTTAATTGGGGTGTAGAACTTCTCTTTACCTGTGAGAATCACAAGTAGCATTTCATAATTGACACGGCTGGAGGAAAAGAAGACATCAGCTGATAGAAAAGTCTGAGAATGATGTGAATCATTTTTCTGAGGGAATCAAATCAAGGCAAGGATCTAAGGAGCCGAAGTGGTTTTTGTGGATGTATATCTGGTTGAATATCTGGTTGAATACTGGGGATCATTGCCAGTAACTGAGCCACTGCGCACCTACCCCTCTCCTAATGCAATATCAACCTGAAGTAGTTGTTATCAGTTAACTGTTGCTTGTTTGAGGGGGGTGGGTGGGTGTGCAGTCGCTCAAGAACTAACATTTATATTCAGTCTTGTCATTTCAACTGGATATACTTCCACAAAAACCACTTTGGCTCGTTGAATCCTGAATCCTCGACCAACGTAGAAAGACGAAATTAAAGCAACGGCTCCCTGATCCTTGGCGAAGGTCAAAACGAAACCTCCAAAACGTTTTGTGACAAATCTCTTCCTTTCCTGGAACCAGGTCAGAAAAACTTGTGAGTTTGTTGGCTATATGCATGTTACCTACATCTTGGTTGAAATAAAGCTACTACATTAGTTATGGAAAGGAAAATCAGTCCAGTCTACTCAGTCTAGAATGCATTTTTGTAAATTCTGTAGAAGTAGTGATTATTTTGAAAAAAAAAATCTAAGTGATAAAAATGACCTACTTAGGACACAGGTAATTGGCCAGAGTGCTAATTAAGATTTAAAATGGGGGCGTCTGTGGTCAAAATTTGGGGAATGTTCAATATATTTTTCGAAAGGAAAATCACTGGTTTCTGCAGCAGCGTACTTCTCCTTCCGCTATTATGAAACCGGACTATGAAGGACGAAAATTGTGCAGCCGGATATACTGACCCGCCCACACAACCCTGTTGATTTAATTCAATTTCTGCCCTCAAACCACGAATTACAGCGATAAAGCGTAGCTAACTAAAAACTGGCAGTTGAACGTGTTTCAGTTGACACTAGAAAGAAAAAGATTAATTCATAACTTTACCAGTGCGGTAAAGTGCACAAGCATAGTCTGAGAGAGGATGAGAAAAAGGGCAATTAAAACCTTTTCTCAATCGTTTTACTCTCCATTTTGGGCAATTAGACGAAAGAAGGCTAACGGCACTCCCTCACCAGCTTGTATTTTAGATGCTTTTTGATCAGTGTTGGAAAAAAAAAACTTAACGCAAAAACCAAAACAAAACAAACAATCAAACAAAGGAAAAATACGTCACGATGTGATCGAAAACTCAAAATAAAATCAAGCAAACTGCGTCAAGTGCGAGTCAGGCTCCGACCTCGTTCCCAGGGTCTCTCATCTTCCCGCCCTCCTGGAGCGAGAAGGGGCGCGAAGATGAGAGACTCTGAGAATGAGGTTAGTCAGACCCGAAGTTGTGATTGGATTTAGCATCTGATTGATTGAAAGGGTGGTGGGATTTTAATGGGCCAATTACAAGGGCGTAGCTGAGGATGGGGGGTCCTGGGATGCCCGTGAGCTCCCAACCTTTGTAAGGTTATGTAAAACAAGGCGCAGAGCACGACATGACAATCTGGTCAATACTCTCTGTTTGACACAGTGTGAGTCCCCTTTGATAAATCCTAGCTACCCTCCTGAATTCCACGGCGTAGTGGATCAAAGTCAATCTAATACTGGATTACTTTAGACGCTACTCTTAAGATCCAGTGTCACCGCAATGCAACGGTCCAGTGATTTTAGCGCAAATAAGAGATGAACAGCCCGGGGGGGACTCCCATATGAAACAGACAGGGATGCTCGTCGTCTCACTTAGGGGTGTAAATTTTGGATTTTGGTCTCGCTTAGGGTGTTCCAGGCAAAGCGCAAATATTTTAAGCCGCCAAGGTATCGTTTAGAGTTCCGCGAAGAAATACAGAATTACGCGAAGAGAAACAGAAGTAAAATTTTCTTTTTAACTTGTTTTGTTTACCGTATTACCTCAACATTAACTAGTTTTCCATTTTACGAAGTGCCAAAGAGACAATGCATGAGCATGAGCGGTCTCTTTTAGGGGTCAAAATTTGCTTAAGCCACGCCCAGATGGTCTCCTTTAGGGGTTAAATTTAAAATTTCCGACGAGCATCCCCGTCTGTTTCATATGGGAGTCCCCCCCCGATGAATTGTTCCAACGCAGGCTCTCGTAGAAGAATCAAGTGTGTTTTGTATTTGTAACAAATGCTATCTTGAATTGCCCTGAGAAGTTTGTAATGCTTTCTTCATTACTCTTGAGGTTTCACTGTAAGGAGCGCTTTTCTTTCTGAAGAACAAACATCCTGCAATGATCATTTCAAATCCTCTTCAGCATGTGTATGGTATAGCGAAAGCCTCTCTGAAAGCATTTGTGATATTTTATCCCTGTTTTTTAAGGAAAAAAACAGGTCTTTCTGTTTCCTTACTCGGAACTGGTTAGCTCAGGCGACCACCACAAACCGTATAATATTAATCCAAGCTTTAATAATTATTCGATTTAAAAAGAAATACATTTATAATTCAAGACCAGAAAAACGCAAATCAAGTCTTAATCTCGCAGCAAAATTCAGAAAACGTGATTGGAACTTACTTCTGTGGCGCGTCATAAAAACATTCTCACTTTACGGGTTAGCAGATTCAGGTAAGCGGATTTTTGAACAGACTGAAAACGACTTCTCTCTCTTCTCGATTCTTTTGAAAAACTGGTTTAAAATATAATAAGCGAACACTTTTAAATCAATGTACGGAATTAATGTCAATCATGAGTCTTGTAATCAGAATAAATCAGTCATCAAAAGGCAACGCCTATTTGCTACACAAAACACTTTCTCCTCCACTAGCACAACGATGATTTTGGAAAAAAAAAAACAACTTATTTTAAGAAGTTAGTCAACGTCTTACAAATTCTCAGAATTGCAGGTGATCAGGTGATAAACAAATATTTGCAATTCTCGGGATTTTTACCCGAGGCTTAGCCTTGAAAAGGACGCACTTTTTCTGAAGGAGGACTATGAATAGCTCAATGCATCACTACTGCGTTAGTTTAAGATTTTAAAAATGCAAAAGAGAATTATCGGCTGTTTATATGTTTCTGAAATTACTTATACAGTATTTCACCGGAAAAAGAGTTAGTGCCAAAAATTTTTAGGAACCGATTCTTCTCGCAATTATTGCTCAATAACTATGATTCGCACAATAATACCAGGCCAGGCAGAAATTTTGATGTTATTGCTCTTTTACCTAAGCGCATTCTGAAAGATTACCTCATGTGCTAAAAAAAAAACTTTCTCTCCGACCAGCCCATAATTTTTAAGAGATTGCAAGGAGTTCTGGGTCGACATCGGGCGCGCTAACTTGTAAATTTTATGCAAATCTCATTTATGTCTTGCTTTGGATATTCTCTCTCAGTTCTCTCACCAACACCCTCGCACGCATCTTTTTTCGATAAATGTCGAAGTTTTAAAACACGGTACCGGGGAATTATCGTCTCGCAATGGCGCTCGAATCAACAAAGAAGAAGCGGTGAGAAATCTTATTCAAGTGAGAAGTTTCCGCACAGAAGTTTCCGCGTTTCGGTTTTGTGACGTCGTTTTGCCATCGCTTACATATTTTTTTCTTGCTTTCTAGGACTAATCTTCTAACCATAGTAGATAGGCTCGTTAAAAAGACTGAATCGCGAAAGGAAGTCGCCGTCCCGAAAAAAAAGGTATGTAGCGGAAGGTTAGACTTACACGAACGCGCACGGCGCAAACTGGAAAATTGGGTCAGAGACCGAAATTTGAAGAATCGAGGCCGTTTTGCGACGCGCTCTCCGCTTTCTTCTCGCTTTTTTTGTTTTAAAGAATTTGCGCATCCAGATATTTGCTAAGATTTTTTATCTTTTCCCTATTTTAGATGTTTACGCATGGAATTTTGGCGAAAAAAATTTCGATTTGCCGTGCATTGCGTGGTACAAGTGCGATCTTGTTCATTTCGCGTTCTTCGTCTAAGCGGGGATACCGGGGGAAACCGTTGGCTGCGAGTAGAATTTTGTCCTTCGCTCGCTCTCTTAACCCAACGAAAAATTCTATTACTCGCGCTTTTTACTTTTGAATCGACATCTCAGGTTAAGTGGAGTATTTTTTGGCTAAATATCAATGATGCGCACCGATAAATGAATAGTGGTGCTTTCGATCTTGTTTAGACCTGCATAAACCTCATTGCCGGCCGGCTGTTTGCGAATCGAAGAGGATTTGTTTTGTGGCATGAAATCTTTCGGAATTGGCGATTAAACTTAAACACTGAGTTGAATTACTGTATTCATTTTAATGTGCGCAACCTTTTTAAACGAATATTTGAACGAAAATCTCATTTTCTTGGGCGCTTTTTCGTAAAAATTCTAGAACGCACTCGTTTTGGTCAAAAACATGGCGGCGGGCGCCGTTTAGAAACTAAAAGTAACGCGCTGGCCGATAAATGTTTGAGTTTTAAAACAAATTCGCACATTTGCATCGAGAAAAACTTTCCGTCTCGGACCGAAGCGCTAGCTGCGTTGGCGCAAAGCAAATAAACACTAAAAGAGGTACTTCGATCTTTGCGTGCGTCAAGTGGTACTCTTTTACAGACTAGATTGCGTCGAGCAAACCACCACAAATTTCCGCTTGACTGAAATGCGCGTCCACTATTTATTACGCACGATCTTTTATTTAAAAGCAGTTTAAGATTTGATCGAAAATTTCTCTTCTACCAGGTAGGTGCTCATCTCAAGTTAGAATACGGTTTAGATCTCGAAACAGTTGCAAACGCTTAGATTTTGCGTCAGGCGCACACACAGTTCTTATTCAACGCCTCGATGCAATGGCGAATTTTTAACAGCATTTAGATTAAAGAAAAAAAAAACACGCTGGACGCGCATTTCCAATAGAATGCGATCAGATTTTAATTTGCGCATGAATTTTCATTTGGAAGGTTTCTTTAGTGTTATTTTGTTGTTTACATTACTGCACTTCGAGAAACTGCTGATTAGGGGGCGTTCTCCGAAACAAGGTGTTGAAATGACGCATAACTTCCTAATCTCTAGCTTCCTTGAAGCCTTTCTGCCATGTCTCTAGTTTGTGAACATGGGTTATTTTAGTTTTGATCATGTGTGGTGAGATAGGTTATGCCAATGCCTTTTTTTGCAGTATGGACAAAACTAGTATTGTTTTCAGCAAGTGTGGACAGAAATGTTACATTGTTGATAAGAATTGTTTTTGCCTGGTCATCTATTAATGTGAAAGAAACTAACTGAACGTCATTCAGAAGTGGTAATACTTTGATGTGCTACCCTTTCCTAAAAGCTGTTTTTAATTTGCACCTCCTAGGAATCCAGGAAGTGAATAATATTTCATTCAGCATGCAATGGTCAAAAGGGGTGTCACTTGGAATTTATGGTGGCTCTTGTAACTGAGAGATTTTTGTTTGCTCCAAATTCTCATGGTTGCGTGATTTGATCCTTTGATCTTTACAACCAGTTTAAACCACTGAAAACCTGTCAGCTCGCAGATAAATTGTCTGGTTCCTGGTGATCAATATTTTGTTGAATTAAAGTAAATTAATCAATGACTGGTGTTGCCTTTTACCACCCTTAAATTATATGTGTCACCAAATTCTTTGAAGTGACACCAAAAGTTAAGTATGGTTGTCAAAGAGAAGAATGATTTTTCAATTTAGGCGCTGAAAGAGTCTGGCTATAACACAGAAATTGAACTTGTGCTGAATTGTCCAAAAAATGGTGAATATTTACAACAGTTGTTTTTTCTTTTCTAAAATGTTGCTTCCTGTTTTAGGAAGAACAGTTGTCTCCCCTAAGACCAGCTGTGCCTATCAGGTAACTATACTCTAACTGTAATCTGTGCAAAATATACCTTATTTGCTCAGTATTTTGCAAAAATGGTACATCATTTGGTTAAGTTTGGTACTGACTTCAGCAAGTGAAGTTTAGATGATCTCTCTGGTCAAAACAGCTTTGATGAGGCTAGCCTACTGTAAAATACAATGGCATATATGTTAGTATCTTCATTCGACACAGAAGTGTACAGTTTCTTTACACACACACACACACACACACACACACATGCGCACATATACATAACTGCAGACAGTACTGTTTCGGCCTTCTGGGCCTCATCAGTGCAGTGCTGATGCTAGGATGGGGGAGAACCGAGACGGTCACCCCAAA